AATCTATTGAGTAAGGTGTGGGATTCAAAAGAGTAACTCAGTCTCCGCTCCACACGTGCCTTTAGACGAAGACAAGACAGAAACCTTATCAGTTTAAACAGTAATGGAAAGTTTATACATTTCAACCAAGCTAGGAAAGGATACTAACCTCATGCACCTGCCATCTCGGGTGGTAAGACCTACCTTGTCACTGAAGACGATCGAAAGTCCATCTCCTTCGAACATAAATTGACCATCACGTAGACCACGCTAAGCCAAGGTGCATAGTTGGTGTACATAGTCATCTCAAATGAACTCCGCACCTTCCACCCACCGATTTCATCAGAAGGCTGATCAATAGGGTGGGGGAGCATTGTGGCAATTCTTCGAGGAACCTCGGTAAGAGGGACGTATTTTCATACAATACATCTACTAGAGGGTCTTAAACAATATCATCATAAATGGTATATAACACAAAGTGGCACCAAAATTCATTTTAAAATAAGTCCAAATATTCACAAAGTATACGAAAAAATTCAACAATTTTTGGAGTTTTTAATACTTTGTGAACTTTTGGAACTCTTTTGAAATAAATTTTGGTGCCTCTCTGTGTTATATAACATTTAGGTCCTGATGAGGCTCCGGGACAGCATACTATTAGGACATCATCATAAGCGAGTGATAGCAACATGTAGAGGAGAAGATCCACCGCCGCATGATGTTATTCGCCCCATCAAAAGTGCACCTTTTGATTTTGCCGAAGATGAAGGAGAATTGGGAATTAATTTATAATTTTCAGTGGATTATTTACGAGATTACAAAAAATCACAGGACCTCGAAAAGTTTTGCAAGCTTTCATTTGACCCTTGCGGTAAGTCATCTTCTACAAACGAGTGGATTACTGTATACCATTGGTTCTTTTTTCTAGACGTGCTACTCTTCTTCGGTAAACCATGCCTTGAATCGCGTGAAAAATATAAATTATTCTGAAGACTGGTATATTTCAGTTGTACCTTTCAACAAAACATTGCGTACGAAGGGCAAAAGATTCTGAGCCAGTCACCGCTTTCAAACTTGCGACTGCTGTCATTTGATAATAATAATCAAATAATGTCACCTATTCATGCCAACATCATTCACATTATAAATTGATTCATGAAATTTTTTGCCGGTTACCCACTTCAAAGAGCATTTAGAAAAAAACAACATCGTCGTGGTTGGAAAAACATGTTGTTTACCGTAGGCGCTGAAAGTATTGATCTGCTTGGGCGCTTCAGTGGCGCAAATGATACTACAACGGTTTTTTTTTTGCAATCTTCTTAATTTTTGCCCCAGTTTAAAGCATTCTCCTGTTCCCACCCAACCTGAAGTTCATGTTGAACATTGCCATGCTTGCTCTGTTTTAATTTACCTTCCCTTGCAAAGGGACTCAACAAAGAAAAATGAATAATCAAATGAGGAGGGGTTTTTGTGAATAACTAGAAGGATGAGATTCTGAGAAACACCCCTTGTTGCTGTTCGCGGCATGAATCTCTTGGTTTTCTTGGTACACTCTTTTAATTTTTCTTTTTGTTATGTTTTCGTCGTTTATCCTGGGCATAGCGACCTCTCCAAAGCATTTCTCGCGCATATTGAGCAGTTTCCTCACTCTTTATTTCAATGGATTGGACAGAACATTTGTTCGAAAGGGCTACTCTAATCACGCATGAATTAAAGATAAGATAAGGATAAAGCATTTGCCGTTGATCAATCCCTTTTTGGGATGCGGCACGCATTCTACTTCCATTTGTACATTCGTAGTGGCGTTTGAATGCGATGTGGCCTATACAATGACTTGCGGGGGCCAGCCGATGTACAAGTCAGTGTTTTTATCCTCCCAGACAAGTCTGGTACCAATTAACCGACCCCGGAGGGATGGAAGGCTTGGTTGGCCCGGGCGACTCACGACCCAGGATTTGATCCCCGGACCGCTCGCGTGGTAAGCGTGCCACTTGCCACTACACCACGCCGAATTAGTCATGGAAAATTCTTGCTTTCTTGAATATGTCCGTATGATTTCTGGGAGGACGTCCAGAGTTTCACGTAAGAAGGTTCAGTTCCTGGAAAGAAACAAACTTGCGAAGTATGACACTCTATGGACGGTCGAGGGTAGGTCGGGCTGAAACAAGGGAATGCGTGGAAAGAAGCGCGCCTTGGAGGCGGCCACCTATTATGTGACGCATTGGTAGTAATTAAGAAATAGGATTAAGGCGTAGGGGCAAACCACTGGAAGAATAAGCTGCAGAAGAAAAAAGAAATGGTACTCATATAGTTGGGGAAGGCCACAGTGAAAGTTTCCTAGTGATGGTACATTGCGAACCATGTCCTTGTCCCCAAAATTTGTGACAAATGTACGGCAGAATTTGAAAGAGTGGCATTCTTTCCAGTTTCTCGAATGATTAGCTAAAAAACCAATCGTTTTTTGTTCTTTTCGTCAACGTCGTGGATGATGGGTCTCAAGTTAGTGATTTATGTGTAAGATATAATATAATAGAATTATGATATCTGTGGATTATCATTATCTTATGTTATAGTGGAATCTGGTCAGCAATGAGCAGTTGAGGAGTTTTAAGTTTTTAGTGTAAAAAAAAACTTTAAAGATCACGTTCTATCTGTTTGTCTGAAAAAACGAACAGCTCGTTTGTTCAGATTACTACTGATAACCGCTGCTAATATCTCTCGCTAAACTGAGTCCAAAGAAGTAACCAGTTTGCTGCTCATTGGTTTTTATTCCAAAGACGGCGGCAACCGTGATCAACCAGTTCCATTTCCTGCTTCTTTTTAAAATGAGATGCGTTCATGACCAGGCATAGCGTCCGTTGTATGTCATGACCTTTCGAAGCAGTGGTGGTATTTCGGAATACGTTCCAAGCTGAAGTATTAACTGAAACCTTGCAATGCGGATGTCTTCAAAACGGGTATTAAAATACAGCGCAGGCTTAAATAATATTTTTGTCTCACGTCTAGCACTGGCACAACCAGCGTATACGGAGCAGTCCGTGGACATCGGAAGTTTCAACGTTCGAAGTTGACAGTGAAACATTGAAATTGACATTTCCCCTCGGATTAGACAAAGTTGTTTCCATTTTACGCAGTGTTGGGACTAGGATCGGCCGTCAGCTGCGCCAATCTTGGAATTTTCGCCACCCCAGGTGGTGTCGATACGATTCCCCCATGTATCAACTATGCATGTTGTGGGTATTTATGCACCTGGGTACGCACTTTTGCTTTTGAAAGAGATCATGCCCTTTTTTGAAAGCGGTTTAGTGCGAAGTGGTAAGGGGTTATTTGGATCGATCATTTCTTTTCCTTTTCCAGGTGATGATAAAACTGTCGCAAATGTTTCCCAATAATGGCTATGTACTTTGTGCTTTTTTTGTGCATCTGCTAGTTTTTCACCCTCACATGCTAGTCTCCCTCAACATCATTTTCTTGGATATGCCTGGAGCGAAAAAGAATCTGCAGCCTTTGAAAAAGGAACGAAACCACCTGCTTGAAGTTAATCTCGATGCTATTCTTTTATGAATTTTTCTAGCTATTCTCTTGACAGGAGTTCTCGACTTTCAAGTGGTTATAACTTCTTGAAAATTCCACAGGATTGCTGAGTTCTGGGCGAAACTTAATCTTAGACCACAAACTTTTTGAAATCAAGTTATCAATGTGCTTTGCATAGCAATGATCGCTCCCAGCAACAAATTATCATCTGTGGAAATTTGGTGAACGCCCACTGGATTTAACCCGGGATTTGATCCAGGGACCGGCACGCGTGCAGCCCCTCCTGTCACCACTCTCCGTTTGAATGAGTATTTTCAATATAAAATTCGGGAATCTGATCACCTTTTACAAATGATTTTTCACATGTCACTCGCGCAACAAAGACAATGTTCGATTGGGAGCAGACTTGGAACGAATTGCAAGCCGCAGACGCTGTGGGTACCACGGGCACCTTCCTACGGAACTTCCATCCACTTCCACTTCGTAAAAATCTGCGTCATCATAGAAGCGTCCTGATTCCACTTCCGAACCATCACGACTTTCAGATTCGCAGAGGTTGGAATCCCCAACCTTTAGAACGGCTGCATCGTCCTCAGACTGATTTCGGCAAATAAAATGTCCCACTTTCACAGTTTGTTTGCTTATGTTGCAACAGATGCAATAATTTAGGAGGGTACTAAAACTATTAGCTTAAAAATCACCTTTTTGGGAGCTACTCTCATCGAACATGACTTCAGTGCAACTTGCTTCATTTACTTATCCAGGTTAATTCGCTTTGACTTGTGACGAATTGTTTTCAAGTAATGAATTATAAAGTTTCCATTTGTGTACAAATTCGGGTCAAGCGAGCGTTCCTGCCTCGATAGGTAGTGCCTTTGACTGCAGAAGTAGTAACATGCGTACCGACAGTAGTCAAAGAGTTGACGCTCTTGGAAAGCTTTCGTGGAGAGCCCTGAAAACAATGGGGAAACTGCACAATCCATGCTTCTTACTTTACTGACTTCTGAAAATCTGAATTGACAAGCTTTTTAGCCAGAATTCATGCAATGCCTCAAAAACTCAATCTGCAGATTCGCGCATTTTCTAGCACTTTGGTTTGATATAAAAGCTTCGCTTCCTGTAAAAATTCTGTTCGCCCTGACCGCTCATAGTATGACCTGTTCTGCAGTGGCATGTGCTGCTATAAGATGCACCATGAACTCATCTGTGCCTAGAAGTCGCTGTGGCTTTCAGAGTCTGTTTTCCACAACTAAGCATGTGATTTTCAAATTCTGTTCGGTCGCTGCTTTCACCTGCTCTTCTCCCTTCTGTTGACCATGCAACCCTCACCCCCTTTTATAATTTAGCACTTGGAGCGTTAACCCTGAGGCGATGCGTACCTCAAGCAGGCCGCACCTCGTGCTATGAAGAAATCTTACCGAGTTTCTCGCTAGATGCAGTCACACTCTCCTACTCACCGTCTTTATTCTGTGCATCCCACCAGATACATGACAAAACACTTTCGCTTAGATATGGCTCCGTATTCGGTGATGGTAACAGGAGCCAATCGTGGTCTTGGTCTTGGTCTGGTGAAAGAATTCCTAAAGAACAAGGAGATTTGCCAAGTTATAGCAACTGCTCGTAATCCAGGCGACGCGAAGGTTTGAGTTCAACTGTACTGCAATATTTAAACAGGTGATCAATGACTGCAGAATTTTGTTTGGCAGATTAAAGGCGTACTAAGTTGAACTATGTGTGGTTTTTTTTGTTTTTTTTCTATCCTTCAAAGACGAAACTTGTTCGACATGCCCTCACTCCACATGGTAAACCCTTTTTCCTTATTAAGAACATTTTTGGTTCTTATTTCGTCGCTTTTAGAGCAAGCTTCTTGCAACAGTCGTGTTAAGTGCGTAGTCGTTCTGTGGAACCCTGCGAACCTAACTCGAGCCAGTGGTAAGGGATGTTGCACTCAGCTTGAGCTTTGGGCTTTGGGTTCAGCATTGTGCAATATAAATATTCCCTTCTCCATTTTAGCGCAACATTGTATAGCTACTATTAGTGGTCCTCCATAGAGACGCTAATCTCTGTCGTGGAACCGATCAGGGGCCGGGTGCAGCAAGCCCCAACTAGGGGATGAATCCCCTCACCCAACTAAGGATATATATCCCCAACTTGGGGATATATATCCCCGGTTTCGTCACAGGACCCATCATTTTTCGATGGGTCCTGTGACTGTCTTAACAGCCGTGTTTTGATTGATCTTTGGCGTTGGCCTTGGAGCAGCTATCTTCTATTGAAATTTGAACACATATATTAGAATATCATAAAAATCAAAACAAGTCAAAATCACTGCTAAAGCTTTCAGCCTCGCGGTCATTGCCGATATCGGCTAACCGGCTCAACACGTTATACGTGTGAGTGCTGAAAGCTATGGTACGTATACCATGAAAAGCTGAGTTGGAATGAAATGGTGCCCCGGTAGCGTAACTGGTAGCGCACTTGCCCGGAAAGCGAGAGGTGCGGGTTCTAGTCCCGCCTGGGGCGAAAGTTTTGTTCACAACCCAGCATTCTTGTAAACATACAGTACCGTGCAGTGAAGTATTCGTTTTCACTTTTTTAAACGTAACTCCCTCAAAACTCAAGCTTTTGTTCCGATTTTTTGTAGGTGAGAACACATCACTCTACCTGATAAGGAAGCAAATCTTCAGTTGTCTAGGTGGCTTCTATACTAATTTAGAAATTTTTAATTTTTTTCGGTCCAATACCATATTACTTGTTCGAAATTCAATCTATCTAAAATTCAAAAATAATAACAAAATGACTTATATAATAACAGACGTAACAACTACAACATCAGCACTTTGTCGCAGAACCGTTTTCATCTACGACGGCTTGACACCGGCGAAGCACGGAATTGGGTTTTTTCTTGGTAGAGGTTCCCCTACGCGATCTTCAGTGGGACGGACTTTTCGAACTCGTTGTGAGCTTTTGGGCCTTCAGCTTGACTCCGAAAATCATCCTACAGATTTTTGCTCTGATTCAAGTATGGGGACTGCGATGGCATGGCAGTGGAGGAACATTGTTGTTGCGGAACCATTGCGAGAGCGGCTTTGATTTTGCGCTTGGGGTCGGAAAATGAAACACTACGGGCGACACTGCGAGCATGCGGCCAGATAGCAGTCATCCATATGTTGAGGCGCGTTTTGGAATCCATTTCAGCCTCGGTCCGATGAAGGTGATCAACCCCTATGCCACAGAAGCTGCCATGCAGTATCACCGCACCCCCTGCATTCGTCACGTCAGCACATGGAACCTCGGATGATATCTGGTACCAACGGGAAGTCGCAAAAACTTGACTTCTTTCGTGCTAAACAGCAAAAACTTCGATTCGTTGCTCTAGATGGCTTTTTGTCACTCCTTAATAGTCCGTTTCTTGTGGGCATGAGCCTAATTGAGATGCGCTCTGCCACTCTTGAGGGGGAATCAGCGGTTTCTTACTGAGCTACGTCAGAAGTGCCCAGCATCTCTCAGACAACGTCGCACGTTGTCTTCGGACGGATTTAGACCGTCTGGCGTTGAGAATCCGCGGTGAATTTCGGGTGCAGCGTGATGCGAGCCACTCCTTACAAGTCGCACAATGATTCTATTGGCGAGAGAAGAGGTCATTTTTGCTACTTCTGGGCGCTTTTTGACTTTGGCAGGTTCAATGCTCTTGAATTTCTTCCAAGTCGTCCACTGGGGCTCCTTGAACTTCAAAAATCTGCTGGAGTGATTGAAGAATTGAATAACTTCTGAAATCCGTTTATTCCAGGACCTTAAGCAAGTGAACGACAGTCGACTGCGTCTCGTACAACTTGACGTAACAAACGATGAATCCATAAAGAAAGCCTATGTGGAGGTACTTGTCTCATAAAAGCACAATTAAAAATGAAAGTGCAAGTACAAAAACAAATAAAAAGGCGGAAGTTCATAAGTTTCACACGAAACTCCTGACACCTCGCAAACCAGAGCCACGCTTTCAGGGAGGCGCTTCATCCAAGTGCCACTATCGCAAGTAATTCTAGTCTTCTGATCAAAAATCAAATGCTGAGGAAAACCATTAATGGCGGCTTAAGTCGTTTTTAACAAAGCGCTAAGACAGAGCGATCAAGCTGCATCCTTGCCAAACTTCATGTTTTTGAGCTGCGCCGCGGCTTGCCCAATGAATGCGAGAATAATCGAGAATACGTAGGAAGGAGTGTCACATTGACTCATTAGGTGATCCTACGATCGGGAAATTGGGACGCAATGTGCACCTGGTTGCCAGTTTGGATTGTAAGGCTTACCATGGGCTTAACTTCTCTTAACGGGCGGTGCTGAAAGAAGAACTATGAAGTGATTACAAGATAGCTTATGAAGCAGGAATTATTAATGGAGATAAGCAGTGCCTCGTGTGTGTGAGGGCAGCGATTACGATAGTTTTGAGAAGATTCAGAGGAGACATAGCGGTGCTCATGGTACGTCAGTGGCGGAAAAAGCGGAGAATTTTGTCAAGAAAGCGCAGAACGGAGCCCCCTGTCAGAAAGCGGACGTATGAACGAGTTCATCGCAACGCGTTTGGTGGCACCATGCCAAACCACGCTCCAATCGAGTTGCTCCAGTTGTGCCGCTGCTGGCAACAGCTCGTCCAAATCACCAAGTAAACTAGTGGGCGGATCGCTTCTGGGCGGAGTGCTTTCGAAGTTCTGTACCGCACGGCACCGCCCGTTAAGAGAAGTTAAGCCCATGGCGCATCTTCTACTGTGAAAGCGCTACACCTACATACCTTCCCTGGCAGCCAAGTAACTGATTGCTGTGGTGCACATGTTTCCCCGAGGCACTTCCTCCCTATCGTGATCGCTGCCTTTAAAGGACGAATTCACGATTAGAATGAAGGTCGAAGAAGGAGTAATTCACCTAGTTGAGGGACCCGCGGACCTCCTAAGGGTGCGGACTGAAGCGCAATTGGCACCGAAGGAGTTGACCTCGGCGACCTATTAAGGCTCAATCTTGGCGCGGTGGGCCAGTGCACGCCCACCGATCATCTGATCTGCAGGTCTATACGTGGCGGAGAGAGAGCGTAGTGTTGAAGAGGGCACAGCGATGAGAGTCGCATCAATGCTCAAATCAACGGGCAAGGAAGGGGTCCCATTTCTCGGGTTCTGGGCCGTTTCTCATGGTTTTTCCTTCTTTCGTGTACCACTCACCATCCTAAGTTAATTTGAAATGGGTTGCTTTTCCAGCGTGAATTCGTCCTTTGTGAAACCCACCTGTGGTGCGTCGTTGACTGGGGGATCTTTTCTAAAATGCCACCTAATGTGACTCTCTCCTGAGACTGAGAAAGAATGGATAGAGGCTATCGGAGGTGATTCATTTATTAATGTGGGCGCATACAGTGAGGTTGACAGAGATGAATTCGATACCTTCGAATGCTAGAAAGAGGGCTGTGAATGCAGAAGTTTAGGTAGAGAAGATTGTTGGCGACAGAGGCCTCACCACACTGCTGAACAACGCTGGTGTATGGGTGAAGTATGTCACAAAGCAAGAACCGAACAGGGCTGATTTCATGGCGAATCTCGACACGAATGCTGCCAGTGTGGCCATTCTTACACAAGTAATTTCTACACTTTTATTCAACGAATGCTGCCACACAGGACTGCATCTCAGAGTTATACTGAAAGAGCTTACATTGCAGAGCTTCCTGCCTCTAATGCGTAAATCAGCCGCTCAGGTGAAAGGAGATTTCTCACCGGATCGTGCTGCCATTTTGAACATATCAGCTAGTTACGGCTCAATAAGCAAAAACACTACTGGATCAGGACCACTCAAGGGCCTGTCCTACATGACGAGTAAGGTAAGCGAACATGAGAAATCCATCTGTTGGGTAAGAGATGGTAACCTAACCTTGGTTTGGTTTATGCAATAACAAGATTAATTTTGCAGTCAGCGCTCAATTCCTTGATGAAGACAATGTCCATTGATTTGAAGTCCGACGGCATTCTTGTCGCCAATTTCTGTCCGGGCTGGGTACAGACCGACATGGGTGGAGCGAAGGCCCCCCTAACGGTGATTGCATTTCCGTCATGGTTTCTGTTGTTCGCATTTCAATTTTATTCCCTTAGTGAATACTTATTAAAAGCGTTTAATTTGGCCTTTAAGGTTGACCAGTCAGCTGCTGCATTAGTGTCGTCGTTTGCCAAGTTGGACAAGAAGCACCACGGCGGTTTCTTCAGCAGAACTCTTGAAGCCAATTCCATACTGAATTCAAGATTAATGCTAGATGAACGATAAAATATTTAGAACATTTTATAGCACTAAAGGGTGAACTGTATTAATTCACCCAAAGCTGTATGAGGACTACACAGCACATTGAAAATATTTGTTCGAGTACTGCTGCATATAATCCACAAAAAGCAACATGCAGGACTGCTCTGAGACTGCATATTTCTCCACGATATTTAGAGTCGGTTAGGGTCTGTTTTTTTTTCCCAACCCGAAGAACAATACTGCAATAGCCTACAAAAATTTGGTGAATACTTTGATGTTTCACCTAGCGCGGTTAACAAACAACGAAATTCGCTCAAATTCACGCAGTATATAAAAAACCAAGTGAAGAATTGGATGGGATGGATGTGAAGCATAGCTTTTCAAAATCGGTAATCATAATTAAATATGGGGGGGGGGGTACAATTTTTCGAAGATTTCAGCGTTCAAAGGGATTTTCAATGAGGTGCGCTATTGCCAGCACCAAGCACCGTGCGTTGCGTAAATTTCAAAATTTTTACGACCTCTGGGTATCTGTATCATCCTGTGTATTAGCTATTGTGCCTTTTTACATATTTTGGCCCATCATCAGTGTATGGGCCGTCACCGACGTGGAGAGGTGATGGACAGTGGAACGCTTTGTCTCGCTCGGAGGACGGGAATCGAAGCAACATTGTTCCGTTTTTTTTTGTGCACACGCGACTTTTTATCTTCAAACGTTCATAGCTCCCTTCATTAGTAACGTCTTGCAATATTCAAAGCTTATTAGAAACAAGAAGATTGACCCTAAAGATATTTAGGTTTTTCTAAATGACAACTCTTTCAAAAGATCGTCCGTTGTTCCCGTTTTTCCCTCAGTGGCTTTTTCGGGGCCATTCTCCCGAAACGCGACTTTTCAACCTTCAAATGGCCATAAGTTTCTTCAAAGTCGGTACATTGAGAAGCGGTAAAGACCACTGAAATCAAAAAGATCAGTACTATATAGCATACGCTAGATTATCTTGAAAGGAAAACCTTTCTCCTGCTGGAGGTTTCTATTATCACTCCAGAGTCAATCAGCCGAACTCGTTGCATTTTCCTCCACTTTGATTTGTTCAAAAAATATAGGAGTTTTTCTGGGAAATTTTACTACTGTCCGAAATAGTGAGTCTAATAGTTATTCGCTGCCTCCTCAGCCCTGCAGAAATTACAATATTAGGTTGAGCAGAACTTATCCGTTGTTTTCATTTCACTCATAAGTTTATTAACAAAACCAAACAAAAACAACAATGCGTAATCAACAAACGCTCTCGAACAGTCCTCTCTGCAACCGTGCCTTCATCCCAGGCTTCATTGATTCTACGAGCAGATGCAGAAGCATTCGGTTTCGAGCTCAACTTGCACTCATGTAGCAGGGGCAATCTTTTTTGCTAGTGTGTAAGCTCCATAGTGAAGTAAATACACAAGTGTTGTACATCAAAATGTACAAAAATTGAGCGCTTTCAGACTACATCATAACCTTTGAAAACAGTCAGCAAATAATCAAAGAATCATGGGCCATGAAAAAAGGATAGGCTCTACGGAATATTTTTGAAAATCTACCCATCTCCTGTACTGGAAACTGATCTCAGACATGTATTGCTGCACGAGAAACGAGCGCGTGACGCACTCAGAAGCGAATTTTGACACTTTACTCTTGCTGGCTTGTCACTTTGTACAAGTGGCATAAGATGCGCGACTTTTATGCGGTTACACAGCAGCTCTCGACCCTAGGCAGAACTCGAGTGCATGATGCATAATGGAATGAAACACTTTCGAAAATCAAAAGCTTCATGTTATAGAGCTTGACAAGCTTAGTCTAACGCTTATTTCAACTTCTCAAACACAAGATTATTAGAAAATAGAAGCCACCTCGTTTTCGCGGAACTCGCATGAATTTTGAAATTTTGGAGCAAGTATGTACTGTATTCGTGAGAAATGATATTTCGAAAAGTCATTGTGGTGCTGCGAGTGACTCTCTCTCTTCGCACATCAATCAAATTATCGAATTCATTTTCCTGATGATCGCGCAGTACGAGCAAATAATGGACCAGACTGCTATTTGCAGATGTCATCTTGGGTGGTGAACACTGCTGACAGCTTTGCAGTTGGGCATAACCCACATCGGTTTCCATCACGACTTTGTGTCTTGCAATGGTTGATAGCCTCAGGTATATCAGTCACTTTTTCGATGTCGTGAGCTTCTTTTTCCTACAACCGAGCGTAAACAAAATATTCATACAAGATCAAGCTTTGCCAAAATAATGCTTTCGAATGCACTCATACCAAAGTGATCCCCTCATGTTTCCTCCATGTTTATGCTACCTAGCACAGCTTAGGTCTGCATACAGGGGTGGCCAAAAAAGAGACACTTCACTCCACATTTCAGACAGCATTAATCACACTTTGCTAGAATCAAATCGACTGCCCCCAACTCAGTATTGAAGAGCACATTCTAATCTATCTAAACCTTACATGACAGCCTTCTACACCGACGACATCAGAAGATTTTCCCACGGAAACATGGTTCACGGTACGAGCTCAACGAGGTCGTCGAGGTACCATAGACCATTACGACGTCCCTGAAACGCTGGTCAAAAGCGGTTTTGCACAGTCACAGCTAATGTCTCTGGGAAGCTATTCAACAGTTAATCCATTGAAGAAATTATGTAGCAGCTTCAGGCCGGAGCGATTACGGTAAGCCTCGTTGAGCTCGACGGTGACGGCAGATGACGTCATATTCTGAAGACGGCGGGGCAGTGAAGGAGGGCCTGCTTCTGCTTACGGGGAACACCTAAGGAATATTCCGCCGTAAAACTTTCATTAACATCGGCACCCTGTGCGACGAAAAGTTCGATGATGTGCGCCATGGGCAAAGTGTCTCTTTTTTTTGGCCACCCCTGTATGATTTTCTAATGAACAGTAAGAGAAAAATGAAACAAGCCCCTGGTGTACTCGTAGTGCTTAACCTGAGTAGTACAAACAGTGGTGCAGAAACCCAAAGGATGAAGGGATGCATAGGTATAAAAAGGGAATGGAAAGGTTCGCATAGCCCCATCGTCTGTGATTTCCTTCAGCTTCACCAGCATCGCTCCTCGAAATGATTCCGATATTTTACTGATAGTTGTGATGTGTATTGTTTTCTGCTTCGCCATTCGCCATGCGAATGACTTCTATACCGGCGAGACGGTGAGTTCAGGCGTTCACATATCTTTCCTCTACTAGCACTCCTTTGTCGCTCTGACAGGTACGTGTATGTAGAGCACACAGAACAGCTAAAGTGCACTAACTAACTGTTTAGGTAACCCTTGTGGAGGAAGGAGTGTGGAGTGGACGCTATCGTCATAGAGAAGACAAACGTTTGCTGACAAAAATCGAGGCCGATTTCGAAAATATGTACAAAAAATTGAAGGACAAGGCTACGATACCAACTAAAGTGGAAAGCATCCATTACCTCTGACTTTTGCGATTTGGCTCAAGCTTTTTTTCATAGAAGATGGACCCATCCTATGCAGAGTAATCATTCGGAAATTTTTTGCATACGTATACCTGAAGTACACTTCACAAATATTGTTCTCTTTACTTGCTCAGAAACGAAGCTTACTTACATTTATTGTCAACGACATTTCTGATCCAGAATTCGACTGATGTTATATGAAATAAATATCTAATTGATTCAGTTGGAAGTGCTCTTGAGCTATCTTCCTGATCACCTTGTTCATTCATTAGTCTCACGTTTTTCTGCATTCCTACAAGAAATTGTGCCAACTATTGGGCTGTCCCATAATTTCTGGCCGAATTTTAACACTTTGATTTCTTCAAGTTTTATCTTTCCTAAAAAACAATTGATCAAAAACATAACCACCATCATAATCACTGATATGCATCCATTTGCTAGGGAACGAATGGATGCATTCCTCCCAGAACGAGAGAAGCTGTGAGATGAAAAGCTCGAAGAGGTCGTTTTTGGGGTGGTTGTATTTACTGACTTTCTCTCCTAGCTGCTGCTTCAGGAGCTGGGAGGTGATAGTACGATGGAGCAATGTCAGGGCTATACGATAGATGTGGTGTCGTGGTCCAGCCAGTTTCCCCGAAACGTGGCGAATTATCTTGCAATGTGATTTCGGGCGGTCCCTTGGAGCGTCAGCACAACGACATTCAAGATATCTTGCGATCAGCATCGCGAGCCTGATTTGGCAGGTTCTCCGGCTTGAAGCGAAATTCTGCGGGAGTGCAAGCTGTGGTTCGAAATGAGCGCGCAATGACTGGCGTTCTGTGCGATAAGAACATACCAGAACGGCTCAAATCTAAGATCTATAGAACCGTCATCCGGCCAGTCGCGATTTACGGTGCCGAATGCTGGCCTGCGACTAAAGAAGTCGAAGCCCGTCTCAGTGTGATGGAGACGAAGATGCTGCGTTGGACAGCTGGAGTCACTCGACTAGACCACATTCGAAACGAAGTCATCAGAGAACGATTCGGTGTGGCTCCAATTGCCGACAAGATGCGCGAAGCCCGTCTTCGATGGTACGGTCATGTTCTTCGTGCAAAAGATGACAGTGTCCGTAAGATCAGCTTCAGCCTTTGACGTGTCCGGAAAACGGCCTAAGGGACGCCCGAAACAGCGCTGGCTCGATACGTTGCACACAGACTTGAAGTCGGTTAACATACACCCCGACCAAGCATTTAATCGGGAAAAGTGGCGTCAGCATATCAGAAAAGCGGACCCCGCCAACAAACGGGACAAACGCTGAAGAATAAGAAGAAGAAGAAGAATTTATCACTTAGGGAGGGGGAGGCTTTCCCGGGGTGTGGATGGTCGCGTAGGCCAGAGAAGGACAGGACTTTTTCGCGTTTGCAAGCGAGCAGCTGTTCGCTGCAGGAACTCCAAGTCCACTCATGGGGCGGTATTCAATCCTTCCCCCAGTGGGATATCCTGATTCAATCCTCCGGGGGGACAGAAAAGGGTGAACCCGTCATAGAGGTTTACGGACTACTTGAACTCTCTTCTATGGTCCTGCCACGAATGGCGGAGGGCACAGACAGTTAAAGAACGGCGCCTGGCTCGGCTCCAAATCCCAGGGAGGGAAGTGAGAGCTCTAGGACTAAGCCTTGTAGGAGGGAGGGACTTCGAGGTGGGGTTGAGCGACTAAAGTGTGGCAATAGTGATGTGTGTGTGATCACAAATGGCTATGAGTCGCTGATAAGGCGAGAGAGCGCAGACGAAAGGTGGATTGAGGCGGGGTTAAAGCGACATGCGGGTGAAATATGTCAGTCAACGCGTATTAAGAATACCATACCTCTGTGTTTCTACCTGCCAGACAGTTAGAGCATCGCGACCCCTCAGGGAGGAGTGCTTCAGTAAAGGAGGGTAGTCGCGCTGCTCTAACTGTCTGGCAGGTAGAACACACAAAGATATGGTAGGTCTTATCACGCAACTTTTTGTCCCCTGGAGGATTGAATCAAAGGAGGGGGATACATTCCCCTGGGGGGATGGATTGGAATACCGCCCATGATCAGCTGTGGACCTATTCCTGCTCGGACCAGACTTCATATATGGGATGATGGAAGTTTTGATAAGAATAAACAACGATGTTACGGCACGAAACCTTCCGGAAGAAAATTACCTAGGCCGACGTCATACTTTGCGAATCGAGCGAATCGCTAGCGAATCGCTCGAGTCGAGCGAATCGCTAGCGAATCGCTCGAATCGCTAGCGAATCGAGCGAATCGCTAGCGAATCGCTCGAGTCGAGCGAATCGCTAGCGAATCGAACGATGCACCAGCGATTCGAACTGGGTACCAGCGAATCGAACTAGGTACCAGCGAATCTTGCATAAAGCTTGAAACTAGGGTGTTAGGCTAGGTTTTGAGTGAGTGTGTGGTTGCCGCCGGACAAAGAGCCTTTGGTGAGGCCACACAACCTCCGAATTTCGCGTTTTACTCCCCTATTTCGTCCACTATAGGTACTCGTTGACTGGTTTATACAAGGAGTAATTAAATTATTCGATCATGTCAGTCAATATCTAACACCGTTGGGCTTCATTTCAAATGGACTACAGTG